TCTCATTGGAGCTCCGACGCGCGCTCTGACAGCCAGGTTAGTCGAACAATTCTGCTGCAGCTTGCAGATGAAGGCACCTTAGCTTCTCTTCAGTCAAGGTACCCGATCTTGCTTAGGTGTCGTTCCCAGGCCGGGGTCTGTTCTGCCATTGAGCAGGTGCAGAAGTACAGTACATACCTACATGCATCTTGAGTAGATGACTTGGCTTTTCTCCTGCGGATGGGTAAGTTGCGATTTGGGACGAGTGAGTGACAGCAGTGGGCGTTGATCGACGTTTGCGTGAGAGTGCCCTCCCATTTACCCAAGTGACGATGCAGTCCGTCTAAGACATCCGCACCGCCATGTGTGAGATTCGCACAGTTGACTTCCGCATGGCTTCCATCTGATCCGGCGGGGAGTGTAGGTCTTACGGCGGACCAGGCTGATTACAAGTTAGTGACGAAGGGTTGCTTTGTCTTGTCCAACCCAATTGTCCACTACCGAGGCCCATGCCGTCAGCGCCGGACGAATCAATGCGGATTGACTGACTCTGTGCGAGCTGGAGCTGTGCCAGGAAGCTCTGACTTGACTTGGAGGAGACCACAGGACAGGACGGATATTGAGGGCTGCTCTGGATCTGGTGCTGATGGGCGGCGGGCTTAAGACCGACAGACAGTTAGAATCTCCGGCAGCGCTCAACATTTTATCGACAACACCGAAGACTGCCCCTCCTTTTCCCCCCTCCATTGACATCAACCCTGTCCAAGTTCCAGTGTCAGGTCCAAGTCCAGGTGAAAAGGCCCGGAGACTGCAACGATGGGCGTGGCCTCGCAAACAATGGCCGAAAATTACTGGAAAAACTCCCCAGAGAGCCCAAGGTTCGGGATAAGGGCTCAGTCACCGTGCGCCCAAATGTGAGCCTCCCGGCCCAGTGAATGAAGTGTCCGGATACAGGAGAGCAGCACAAGGAAATAAATAGAAAAGCAAAATAGCAGCCTGTGCTACCTTCGTCGACCTGCTTTCTCCCACCTACCCACTTACCTATCAAGGGAAGCTTACCCACTGACTGATTCGCCCCGAGGTGCCTAAAGGCGAGCGCGGCGGTGCGGGACTTACAGCAAGTACACAAGTACAGTACATGGCGCGCTAGAAGAGCAGCAAAACACACCCTCCGGCTGTGAGTAAGCTCCCCCTTGCTCTCGCTCTGTGCTTATAGCCCCCGCCTGAGAGCACTAAAAGCGGTACCTCGACCTGCCCTCGGGCCAAGTATCTTCTAGCTTTCTGCGCGTCTTGTCTGTAGGTGTACCTTCCTCCTACCCTGGACACCTCCTTCCTCCCCCATCCACGCCCGTACCCATACCTCTCACGGCGCACCCCTACCTTCATCTGTGCTTCGTCATTACTAAATACCCCAATCCATCCGTCCCGGATCCCGCTCTGTATCTCTTTCCAAAACCTTCCCAACTCCCTCTTCTAGCTTTTTGCTTGCTAACTTTGGTTTCCGCCTGTAGAGACCTATTCTTACCCTTCTTTCCTATCCTCCTCTCTCACAGTCTTCACACAGTCGCGCCGCTTCACCGCCGACATCGTCACCATGGCCGACCTTAGCTCCGCCGCAGCGTATGTCACCCCGCCTTCCAACCCCACCAAGCTGCGCTCTCTCTCGCTCTGGCGACTCCGGACTCGAACTCGGCATCGCGAGCGGGATTCGATACCACCGCCGACGTTGAGCGGATGATCGCAATTGGTGCAGCATGGATTTTTCGGACCTCGGATTTTTTTTGCTAACTCATGGGCGCTCACAGTTCCATGGAGCTGAAGGAGAACACCGTCATTGTTGTTCTCGGTGCTTCCGGAGATCTGGCGAAGAAGAAGACCGTACGCAGCCACAGCTTCTTGGTGACGTGAAAATTAGCTGACAATTTCTATAGTACCCTGCTCTGTTCGGTCTGGTATGAGCTTCTCGGACCTGCGCGTTGCGATGCTACGAGCTCGGCGAACTGACTGGCGCACATAGTACCGAAACCAGTTCCTTCCCAAGGACATCAAGATCGTTGGATATGCGCGCACAAAGATGGACCATGAGGAGTACATCCGCCGCATCAGATCCTACATGAAGACCCCCACAAAGGAGATTGAGCAGCAACTCAACGACTTCTGCAGCCTCTGCACCTACGTTTCCGGCCAGTACGACCGGGACGACTCTTTCCTGAACCTGAATGCACACCTTGAGGAGCTCGAGGCTGGCAAGCCCGAGACTCACCGTCTGTTCTACATGGCTCTGCCCCCCAGTGTCTTCACCATTGTCTCTCAGCACTTGAAGAAGTGCTGCTACCCTACCAAGGGCATTGCCCGTGTCGTTGTATGTTGATTGGTGCTCCCAATGGGCTCAGATTCACTGACACGAGCGCACAACAGATCGAGAAGCCCTTCGGTAAGGACCTTGCCAGCTCTCGCGAGCTTCAGAAGTCGCTGGAGCCCGACTGGAAGGAGGATGAGCTCTTCCGCATTGACCACTACCTCGGCAAGGAGATGGTCAAGAACATCCTCATTCTTCGCTTCGGTAACTCTTTCTTTGGCTCTACCTGGAACAGACAGAACATCGACAACGTCCAGATCTCCTTCAAGGAGCCCTTCGGTACCGAGGGCCGTGGCGGTTACTTTGACGAGTTTGGCATCATCCGCGATGTCATGCAGAACCACTTGCTCCAGGTCCTGACCCTGCTCGCCATGGAGCGCCCCATTTCTTTCGCCTCTGAGGATATCCGTGACGAGAAGGTCCGCGTCCTCCGTGCCATGCCCGCGATTGAGCCCAAGAATGTCATCATTGGCCAGTACGGAAAGTCCCTGGACGGCAGCAAGCCTTCGTACAAGGAGGACGACACTGTCCCCAAGGACTCTAGATGCCCGACCTTCTGCGCCATGGTTGCCTACATCAAGAACGAGCGCTGGGATGGTGTCCCTTTCATCATGAAGGCCGGAAAGGCCCTCAACGAGCAGAAGACCGAGATCCGCATCCAATTCAAGGACGTCACCTCTGGTATCTTTAAGGACATTCCCAGAAACGAGCTTGTCATGCGCATTCAGCCCAACGAGAGTGTCTACGTGAAGATGAACTCCAAGCTGCCCGGTCTGAGCATGCAGACTGTTGTCACTGAGCTCGACCTCACCTACCGCCGCCGTTTCTCCGACCTGAAGATCCCCGAGGCTTACGAGTCTCTCATCCTGGACTGCCTCAAGGGCGACCACTCCAACTTCGTCCGTGACGACGAGCTTGACGCCAGCTGGAGAATCTTCACTCCTCTTCTGCACTACCTTGACGACAACAAGGAGATCATTCCCATGGAGTACCCCTATGGTGAGTCTTTGTGCTGTCAATCACATTCTGGCTTTGTTGCTAACATACTTACAGGTTCCCGCGGCCCTGCTGTGCTGGATGACTTCACCTCTTCTTACGGCTACAAGTTCAGTGATGCGGCTGGCTACCAGTGGCCCACTACCTCGGCTCAAGCTCCCAACAAGTTGTAAGTCATGTCGCGCGCGTTAGCGTAGCTATTTACGTAGAAGAAGAATTGATTCTAAATGATGTCTTTGAGCAGCTGAGCAACCCCCTATCTTACCACCAATTCCAAAAGAACGCACGCCTCGGCCACTGCATCCGCGATATCCCCAGCGCCGCCTCATGACGCGAGCGCAACGTATTATATCCATCGAAGGGAGGGCATAGATTCACCAAGAAGACATAAACAAGGGAAGCCAGAGGGGACACCCTAAGGGTGGGCACTGGTTGGAAGATGGAATTTCTTCGCTTTGCTTGGCCGTGTTAGGAAGGATAGAAAATCAATGAGATTTACGTTTCCCACGTTTAACCGCTGACGTTTGCTGAGTCGCAGCACACATGAGGGAGGAATGCGCCGGGTAGCAGTGTGTTTCCTTGACTTGACACTTCGGGCAGTGAGAAGGAAGCTCCAGTTTGGAAGACCAGCGAGTCATTGGGGGTTCCAAACGCTAACAGAAACGTCATTATTTGGGGCAGCTCGACGAACTTAGCCGGTTTCTGCAGCATATGCATCCAGCGTCGCCAGTCCACGTATCATCCGACCCATTATACAGAATCTAGTCGAAGGCACCGATCGTGTTGTCTCTTGACGCTTCGCTCATGGCGACGGCTGGCCGCATGAGCTCGTGGCCCGTGGCATGCTGGGAAATAGAGTCGAAGATTGAGACTACGAAGCTCGCTCTTGGTACTACTAGATTAAAGAGTTGGGCGTATGAAAGCCGGTACGTACCCGTTATGGAGACTGCTGAGTCAGGTCCTACGTTACATAAGGTAAGGTAAGGCAAAGGGAAGGACCGTAGGTCGGCTGGTTGGCCAGGCCAGGACGGCGTTGCCTGAGAAAAAAGAGCAAGGCTCGGGCTGCACCTAGACCTCCTGCCTTGCTGTTCTGGCTGGTTGCACGCTCCTTCCATCGCAACACCACCCTCACCATTTGCCCGCAGGCCGATCACCAAGTGCCGCTTTTTTCGGCGCATCCTACAACCACGGCTTTGCGACATCCGCACACATCGAAATCCGACCCACGAATTGATCACAGCCTTCCGCACAAGCATCACTGCGACGCCGAAACCGCGACTCTCCGATCGTCGATTGCTGCCGGGACTTTCCCCCCAGATCACGCTGCCTCATCGCGTTTCCACGACACCACCCCTGCCTCTACGGATTCGATCTTTCCGTCTCCTAGCGAACTCCCTCTCGAAGCGCGTCGTGGTTACCGATTCTGTGCCCTTCGTTGATGCGATTGCGCCACGCCGCTTGTTTGCGCATCTGGCGCCGATGATTGAGTCCCATCTCACAGTCACCGTGGATAGGGATCAGTCTTTCACGTCACTTGGTCGCTTGTTCGCGGCGACCTGCCCACCGGAACCAAAGTCATTCTACGTTGTTCACGAAGCGTCCTGCATCCCACTCTCGGGGGGACGGTCGTGAGGCAGCCAGCGACGTAGGGAAAGGCCTTCCCCCGATGCCTGGTGTTGTCAACATGGAGAATGGAGGGCAGAATGGAACACATTCGAACCACGATAGGAATCTGAAAATGAACGGCATCAACGGTACAACGATGGACGGCCAGCCCTCACCGAACAAGGGCAAAGCGCCCGTCGAGGCCTCTAACAATTTGGCGAACGGGGTGCCAGCCGACCCAGGCAAGCAGCAATCGCAGATGAACACCGGTCTAACTTTGCAGCCGAAATCGAGAATGAACGACCTTCCCGAAGAGATTGTGCACATCACTCAGGGGTACATACCGCTGTCCATGATTGTTTCCCGACTCGCGCAACGAACCCACGAAGACCTGCAGAAAGTTATTATGGAGATGGCGGCCGTGAAATGGGCACCGCCGGCGGTCAACGGAAACACACCCCACGGCAACGAAGCACCGGACGACATGTCGGAAGGAAACAAACGAAAGAAGATGTTGATGCTCAAGTTTGCGCAAGATGCGCACGCTAAATGGGTCAAGGCCCTCGTCATCACGGACTGGAGCAGGAACGCAGAGGCTGTCAGCAAGCTCATTGATATCAAGGCGCATATCGATTCCAAGAGGATGCTGTACGACTATGCACAAGACCTGCTCATCGATCTCAAGAGAGGTCTCAACGGCGCGAGACTACCGAACCCTGATTTGAAGACCGCTTTGCAAGTCCTCACCACCGGCGAGGCATCGTGGGTCCCAGAGGTAAGCTTTCTGCTACAAAAGGCGGGAACTCCCACTGACATCAACCTGTAGCCTGGTTACATACCCCCGCCGCCACTCACACCGGAGGAGCAGTTGAAGTGGATTGATGATCTGAACACCATGCTTTCCTTACGCCTAAATCTGGATGACTATGACAAGATTCCGCATCAGTTCAAGACCTACAGCATACACTCCGGCAGAGTGACTTTCAAGGTTAAAGGCGAATTTGAGGTAGATTTGACCATTGCCGATGAGGACTTCACCAAGCAATTCTGGTTCATCGACTTTCGGTTTGTATTCTCTCCGTCTGCGAAAAAGCTGTCTGATGGGCTGGTATCATTCCTGGAAGGCCAAGTCAACGAAATTCTTGGCAAGGACGGTTTGGAAGGCTGCTACAGGTTCCTGCACGAATTCGTCCTCACGCACAAGATCAATGAACTCAAGCGACAGGCACTCGAATTGAGTCGAAGCACGTGGACGGGAACCTTGATGGTGGAACCCCTGAACCGAGCTTTGGCCCTGCAGTACTGGACCACAAGATACGGACCAAACGGGCCCAAGAGCTGGGTCATGGTCGCCGTCAACAGTGCGAAGAAAACGAACGGTCAATTAGACTCGAAACAGTCCAGTCGATTAGTTGCGCGTTGGTACCGGGACAACAAAGAGGTCAAAGACGTCCTATTACCGTTTGATGTCGACACACTCTGCGCAGAGGATCTGCTCAAGACGGCGGTCGCCAGGCACGTCGAACACATTCTCTCATCGATTCACTCCAAGTTGCTGTCATACCCTCGTTTCGCGAACCGGGAATCGTCGATGACATTGAAGGTCTCCAAGAGGGAGCCGGTGGAATCGTTCTTGAGCATGCAACTGAGCCCACGAGAAAACGTTACCGTGGTCGTAGAACCAGTAACTGGCTTCGCGGCAATTCAACCTCACACCAAATACACACTCAGTGGTGAGACACGGCTTAACTACGGCCAAAAGGATCCAGCAGAAGATGGTGTGGTCTGTCTCGAAAGCATCAGGTGGGGCTACGTTATGGAAGAGTTCAACCGCCGGGGGCGAAGCGTGGGATGGAAGACCTGCAAGAGTCCACTCTCAAACGAAGATATCAAGCAACTTATTCGGACCAGAGAGGCATTCCAGACAGTTTTCTTGCAGCGTCAAAGTTTGGATGAGGACTGGCACGTCATGGCCTCTTTGAGCCTTGCTGGTGATGAGTGGTGGTTGATACAAATGTAAGTCTGATCCGCCGCGTACTTGAAGTGTGAAACGCTAACACGAATAGCGACCGCAACACGCCAGCGCGCCCTATCAAGTTTTCTTGTCGACTGCGACTAAACCATGGACAACCCGACTTGGACGACTCATTCTGGAGCAACCTGACCACCTTCGTTACTGGCACGATTAGCCATGTCACCGATTTGCAAAACTTGCATACTAATAGGATCAAGTATGTGATGAGGGAGTCGACTAACTATTCTTTGCCTCAACAAGTCCGTATGCCATCAATTCTTCTCAAGCTGTCACAAATTCTACGCCACAGCCATCTCGGCGGGCATTCTGGCGCCAACGATGCATCGGACGAATCAGACAAATACGCTCCATCATGGGCCCAGAACCATGTCGAGATCAAGTTCAAGGGGCTTCAACCTCAGGTTCCTGCGGCCCTCGGGAAAGATGACAACGGTGCCTCACCGGTGGATGTGATTGACAACTGCAAGATCAACACCGTAGTGGACGCGATAATCAGGGTGAAGGACAGGTCCAAGTTCACGCTGCTTAAGGGGCGGATTGATCGGGACGTGTCTTTCAGCCCTCGAAAGGGCGAATTTATCTTCCGCATTCGACAGACGGTTGGCCACCCTATCCTCGACATTCTTACAAGCCACGTCAAATCCATAGACCGGCTCGTTGGCTTCCTAGAAGCCATTAGCAAGGCAAGAGGTTCTCTTAAATGCGAGAGAATGAGTCTTCGCCAAGTCATCTTCACATACGGCGATGTCGCAATGCCAGGAGAGAGCGATGCAACAGCAAAGCCTCGCCGTTGGCGGGCAACTCTTGACCTAGCCCGGAGCGACATCCGGATGTCTTTAGAAAGGGGCAATCCGCATTTGCGAATGCTGGACTTGTTCACAACGATGGTCAACACCCAGGCTGGGCTTAAGGCCCTCATTATCTACATGCCGTTAATGTTACCGGTGCTGAAAACGGTTGAGAGCATCGAGTCCAAGTGGGAGGCTCTCGAATCTACGAATCAAGGGCGCGTCGAGGTGTTCCCAAGAGCCGTTGACTGGGTTGCCATCCGCTACACACTGACACGCCCTTCAGGGCAGTCGCGGGTGCTCTCCGTTGACGTAAGGAGCAAGATAAGACGCCATGAGTCGTGGTTCCACGTCCAGCGGGTGACGGGAGGCGAGTCTTTCGGTCCCGACGAGGAGTTTAACAAAATTCTCAAGGGCATCTGGGAGTCCCATGGTGATGGCTGGAGGGGACTCACCACCGCGGCGGCATCCAGGCCTGGGCCGAGCATCATGGATCTGCTTACAAAACTCGACGACGCAGTCCGCACCCACGCCGCGACGGGCGGCAATGGGCCACCATCATCGGACGGCGCCGCGACGCAATTCAGCCAGACCTTTTCGGCAAACCAATCTTTCGGCACGCAGCCTACCAGCGTCAGTCAGGGGAGCAACAGGACCTCAGGTAGTAAGCAAGCGCCGTTGGTACTCGACTAAGACGGACGCCAGCACGGGTTGCTGTGTCATGGTTGCTGTCTCAAATACCTTTTCTTCTTCTTTCCTTCACTTTTTTTTCTTCAAGAGTCATCATCCATTCATACCGTGATACCAAGGGGCCTGGGGTATACGCAACGTGGATAGCAAAGGTGATGGCATTCAGCGGTTTATCGTGCCCTCAAGAGTAGCACGCCGGCCGGACTCGACCGAAATAGACGGTCGCATCGATACCACCAATAAAATTTGTAAACTGTTTGACTTTGACGTACACATGCCACCATTGATCCAAATCTATCAAGATAATTTACAAACAGGTGTGATGCTCCCGACGTCCGTAGCTATGAACAGGTCGTACGCCACGCCAAAGGACGAGAGTGCCTTGTATAAGTTACAAAATACTGCTGTCTAAATTCTCTCCCCTACGTATACGCATATGGGGGTTCTATCCAAACAGTCTGTAAAGCCACGGAGCTTCGCGTGCAATATTACGACCGATCCTGTGCAGCATCTCCCGGTGGAAGAGGAAGAAATCAGGCTTGCGTTCCTGGTACGCTCCCAGGCCCGTCTCGCCGACGTGGTCCAGGGACACACGCGCAATGTGCGATGCCAAATCATAGCCGGCGCGCATGCCGCCCATAACGCCAATGGGGCCGTACGAGCCGCCGGCGACGGCGACGCGGCGGTTGAAGGCATACTCGATCTCGCTGCTCGCGCGGTCCATGCGCTGCCAGTGACCGACGTGGTGCTGCGGGATGCAGTCCTTTGCGAAGTGCGCCATGGCGAAGCAGGGCGTGGAGGCGGGGATGCCGAGCTGGCGTTCGAGGACGGACTTGGCCATCTCGATGCCCTCTTCCGTCGTCGGAGGGGCCTTGTCGTTCCAGTAGTGGCCGCCCAGGAGGACGAAGAGCTTGGTGCCTTCGGGTTCGCCTGGGGCCGGGGCCGCATCGAGAACGTCCGAGTCGAAGAAGACGCCGAGGACGCCTTCGGGGTTGTTTTCCTCGGAGCGGGGGACCAGGTATCCAACGCCGCGGTGTTTTTTGTTCAGCCTTGGCTGGGGGTACCACAGGTTCACGGCCATGATGGAGACGTTTGGCGAGTCTTTAAGGGAAGGCAGCGCGCCGGAAGTCATGTTGTAGAGGGTGTTGCTTGTCGTCGTGGAAATGACCTTGTCGTAGAAGGCAAAGTCCCCAGACTTCTTGGTAAGGATCTGGCTGTGTCAGAGGGTTTGTTGCAGGAGTTCATCGGGATGATGAGGCACTTACTGCAGCTTTGTCACGCCTTTCATTATACCTAAGGTCAACGACCGGCTCGCCCAGCTTGAAAGTGACGTTGCTCCTGGCCCTAAGCTTTTTCTCAATCGTATCTGGCAAGCTACTCAAGCCGTCCTTGAAATACACAAAGGCGTCTTTCTTTGTGTAATCGACGAAGTATCTCAACTGTTCATCCGCACCTAATGTATGCAAAATATGCATCTCTTGGCGAGGCATCAACACGCGGTTGTGGTTTTCACGACCATTTTCGTCCAAATTGGTTTTGGAGGGCTCGTAGAAAAATTTCCACCACTGGGCAGGCATGAAGCTGCGCATGCTGATCTTGTCAGCGTCGCCACCCCATATGCCGTGGATCATGGCTGATACCAAGTTGTCCACCAGCTGCGGCTTGCCCGTGGCGAATTTAACGAATTCGGCGACAGACATGTCGGAAGGGTGTGGTTCCTTGCGGGCCTTTAGACGTCGTTTGATGGCGGTGATAAAGCCTGGGAAGGCGCCGCTAAAGACACTGTTGAAGATTGGCTCGTTCCAGTAGCCCTGCAGGCTCATGCTGACCAGTCGTTCGTCGTAGTAGATGTAGCGACTGAGCGGCGGCTTCGAACGGTATTCCTCAACCATTTCTAGGTCTCTGAGCTTCATGCCATGGTCAGCGCTGGCGACAACTTCTCAGGGCAAGGGTGACAAACGAGGTCCCAGAACACGAGATCGTCGAATTTCCATATGTCCCTTCCCATGCCACGCAGCGTTCTCGGGCCACGCTCGAAGCGCACCTTGCCTCCAATTCCGTCCACGTTGACGTCGACCATTTGTGTATTGATCCATCCGCCGGTACGGTTCGCCGCGTCGTAGATGGTGATGCGGGATGTCGCCGGGAGCCATTTCGCGAGATAATGTGCCGTCGTCAGGCCGGTGATTCCAGAGCCGATGATGGCAACTTCCCGCGGGACACCCATTCTCTTGCGAACAGCTTTTCGGGCGTCATAGACGGGCTCGTTCTGCTCCTTCGTCTTTGCGTCGGCCGGCTTTGCAGCGGAGAGGAGAGCACTCGTCGAGAATCGCGGGGGCCTTGCGATGCCATTGCGGGCGCTGAGCGCCGCTCGGCAGAAGCGCTGCGAATGGTAAGATCTTAATAGAGCCATGAAAGCATTATCGGCTCTTCTGGAGACCATTGAGGGGGGCAATGGTTCGGACAAATGAGAGAGGGAAAGACAAAATGTGCTGGCGGGAGGAAGCTGTTGGTTACAAAGTGGCGTCACGACACAGAAAGCATTTTGGCAAGGGTCTTGCAGCTAACCGCACAGCTCCGGAGCTAGGGACCGGGAAGCTCCAGGGACTTCAGAGACCCACCACTTTCACAAACATCACCTTACGAATGGATTTCAGCATCCTGTCAGTTTCTTGATTGGATTTTGTTATGGCTTTGTCAATCTCGTTAAAGGGCGCCGTCTACATTTTTTATGTTTACGAGACTATATTTCCTCTGGCATGATATTAGGCACTTAGCGCTTAGAGTGACACAAGTGTTAGATATGGCGGCGGAAGTCGCCAGTAGAGGCGAAAAGGACGACGACGGTAAAGATATAAACGACCCCAAAGGAAATGAAGTCGCTACACAGATGTACAGCCATAATAGGTGGTCCACGTCAAAGGCTAGATGAGGCCCCACCCGAGACCCGAAAGGACAGGAGGTCTAGACATCGGAGAGAACTCCGTTGACATGGGCACACCACACGAAGCATTTCAAGACTGACTGTGAGGCCTCATAACGAATGCATTACTTGCCCCAACGCTGCTAGCAACCACAATTTTGGTGGCCGCTGGAACGTAATTCGGCTTGCCCAAAGCCATCTCTATACACGAACATGTGAATAATCGCACCCGCAACGCCGATTGCCGATTGTGCCCTGCCGCTTTGGCCATACATCGTCCAATTATCATACAAGAAGTCGCTGCTCCTTTCCGGGCCAGCCAAGGCCTCTTTTTGTAGATACCCGCTTTGCCAGTCTCGAGGGACTGACCTCTCCCTTCCACCCGCTTCGAATCATTCTACCCACTGTTCCGGACCACGGAATCGGCTCTCCTCGCACAGCCTCTAACTGATGACCTCCTGAACGTTGCCTTGCTCTTGGCCGACGGCGTTCTCTGATTCGGGAAGTATCACCTCAGTCTCAGCCTGGCCATCTACGAACTGACGGTCGCTGACATGGCTGTTGCCCTCCGCGGTCCAGACCTTGTCCTTAAAGACCCCTTGTTGTCCTTCGTCGTGGGTGTAGACGCAGTGGGGGTTCTTGCAAGGGTTGAATCGACACTTGATCTTAACATGTGTAAATTTGCAACCCGCAGTGGTGCAGCCGGCGCCATTTCGGCAGAGAGGCATGTCGGGATGCCTGAAAGGACACCTTGGGTTTGTGCAGTTGGGGAAGAATTTGCAGTCTTGCTCGTTTTGGTGCGCAAGTTTTGCGGCGGGTGAAGGATGGCGACCGACACACTTGCGGTTCTTGCATGCAGCGCCAAAGGTGCAGACATCATTAAGGTCAACGGTGGTACCAGGTGGCGCCGCAGGAGACTGGTGTGCGAACTTGCACTCCCTGTTGGTGCAGTGAAGGTTGTACTTGCACACCGTCTCATCCGGGTTGAGTGGCTCGCGTTTCGATTGTCCCATTTCCACATCCTCACCCTCGGCCCCTCCCTCTGCCATTCCCGACTCTGACTTGTCGTTGCCTTGACGGTTTCTGAAGTTGTTGCGATTCTGGGTCCGGTCGAACAGGGACTTTCCACCACGATCACGACGTCCGCCACGACCGCCAGACTGGTTCATGAGTTGTTGTTGAAGCTGGCTCATCATCTGTGCTTGTTGCTCCATCATCGCCATGAGATCCATCTGGGTAGGCTGCTGTCCGGGCATACCAGGAGGCATTCCCCAGGCACCGTTCATGCCATTCATGCCCGGTGGTACTTGTTGGCCGTTCATTCCCGCCATCGCGTTCAGGCCAGCCTGGATGTTGACTCCGCGTCCGTTCATGTTCCGGCCACCTCGTCCCATGCCGCCTCGCGGTCCCGTAGGGGGGCCACGAGCATGGGAGTTGATTCTGTCGTTGCCGCGGGTCCGGTGGAGAACTGAGTCGGTTGATCTGTCCATGGCCTTTGACATGTGACCAAGCATGCGCTTTTCGCGTCCGCCTCCACGGGCGTTGGGGCCGTTGCGCATTGAGCGGGGACCAGTAGGACTGCATGTTGTTAGTGACGGGAGTCGGGTAAATTGACGGGAACGGGAGGCATACGCGTTAAATTCATTAGCATCGCCTGCACCCATGTCGGTATCCATCTCGCCGGACGCGACGTTCTGGTCGCCCATGCCAGCCATGACATCGCCACCCTGTTGTGTGTGGTTGCCATTCAGCTGTGCGTCAAGTGACTCTGCTTGTTGAAATAGCCATCTCGCAAAATCGGTGCAGGCGGGATCATCGGGATCGAGGCCAAGGAGATCGGTCGCGAGTTCGTGGGCAATCTGCTCCTGCGTGCGACCGTTGACGAGCATGAGGATAATGTACTCGGCCAGCGCAGCATCGTCGGAAGCCCAACCAGCCTCGACAAGCTTCGGTTGGATGGCGGCGCTCAGCGCATCAGCCAGCGGGGTGTTGAGGACGACTTGTACCGTCATTGTGGAAAATCGCCGACAAGGCGTGGGTCGCGTTGAGATTCGAATGCGATCGCGGTTGGGTATGTGGG